AAGTTTTGAAAAGTTTTTTGTGAAACACTTTCCTCTGAATTGTAGTGCAATTGAAGTCATTCTGTAATCCAAACCACAAATTGTCTCACATTTCAAACCAATCGTCAATTCATTGATGTTTTGAATATTCATTTCAATTGACATTCAATTCAATGAATTGCTTATGAAATGCGAGACAAACAGTCGTTTCAATCAAACAGTCATTTCAATTGCACTCAAACTTTCACTAAAGACTTCTGCAGACAATCTGTGGATCACTTACCGGTGATATACTTGTGTCCAGTCGTCCACGTGTTGTTCAATCACTTGATTATCACCACAAATACGACTCAAACTCTTGTGAAGACTGGACACGAGTTTGCAATCAAAACAAAACAAAAACTTTGAAAACATATGTTTTAATGAACGCATGCGTCGTATAACACATATCCCTGGTATGTGTATCCCCAGTATCAATTATGAACAAAAACTTTTTACAAAACTTTATAAATAAAAGTTTTATAACTATTTAATGTGAATTAATTTTAATTTTGTTTTATGAATAACTTACTCAGGTTACATTTATAAGAATTAACCAGGAATATAAAAGTGATTTTAAATTATTTTTAACCGGGTATACGTGCTAAATTGTTCAAGGTTAAAATAATAAACATTTGTTTATTGAGTTTACATAATAGTTACATTAGTTTTAGTTAGAAATTATATTTTGAATTAATTTTCGACACATTTGTGTCGTGACCGCAAAAATGATCTGAAAAGCCATGACTTCTTGTGCCAAAAGTGACGATCAGTTCATTGAAAGCATTCAATTGTTTGACGTTTTCGATGACCCGAAAGGGTATAACATATTAGTGGTGACCGACAAACACCTCGTCTACGGCTTGGGATCCAATTCCCGGATCTCTCGGTTTGGGACACAACCTGACCGTCAATTTCCCCACAATTATACCGGAATTGTGTCACAAGAATATTCTGCAATTCTTTACGGGACACGACTTTGCCTTAGCTATAGTCAGGAACAGACACGTGTACGGGTGGGGTAGCAATGAGAGGGGACAGTTAGCCCGTGAACCCGGAAAGGGTTATTACAAACCATCCGAAATACCAGTGCTTAACGACCTAAATGTATGCCAAATAGCATGCGGTTATGAACACGCGTTAGCCCTCACGAGCACAGGTAGTGTCTACGGGTGGGGCGGTAATGGTTATGGACAGGTAGGCACTGAACACGTGATACTTAGAGGGCCGACAAAACTGAATGTCTATCACATTAAAAGTGTGTTTTGCGGTCGTTTCTCGTCGTTTGCCATCACTTGCGAGGGACTGGTATTAAGTTGGGGTCAAAATGATAGCTGCAGTTTGGGTCATAACTTGCTGGGTGTGGAGGCAGTGGTACGCAAACCCCAACGGATTACCGGTTTAACTGATGTTAAGAGTGTCGGTGCCCGAGGGGACGGTCGCACCACGTATTGGCTCACAGACGACGGGTTTGTGTACTTTTGCGGTCAATATAGCGATGAAAGCGGTGTTAAAGTCAGGCAAAGTTCGCCAAAAGTTGTGAATACCGGTGCTGAGTGTCGGGACCTACGGGTGATAGAGGTCAACGGCCACCAGACGGTGATTGCTGTTACCGATGAGAATATTCTTGAGATTCTGGACACGAATGAAGTGATTGCCACGGATTACGAGAATTTGTTTGATTATTGTGTCGACGAGTTTCGGATTACTTTAGAGACCATTAATTTCCGGGAGTTTAAGAGATTTAATTACAATACAAAACGCGATTTTATGCACAAATGTCACGAGTTTTTGGGCAAAATGTTTGTCCAAGTTAAATTATCTATTTATGGTACGAATGAAATTTTTGCCATAGTAATGTTCGTAGATAATACAGGGTAGCCTTTTATTAACGATGCCACTTTGATTGTCGTTTATTTTAACACCGTGTATTATTTTTAATTGATTCTTTCACCAAATTATAGAGGAATAGTTAGGGTTTTGTTTGATATATAACATGCCCAGAATATTCTTGTGTGTGATATTTAAAATAATATTTTTCACAAAAGAGTTTTAAATTTTGTGTTTTCATTAAAACTCGAGTATAACTGACATGTACGATTTTAAATATTAATGAAATTCACTTAGCAACTTATTGTAAAGAAGTTTAGATAGAAATTTAAAAATAATCTTTTCTAAATTTTAGTTTATTTTAAGAATATTGATATCAATAATTTCATAATTTGATTTTCAATGTCAAAATTACACTAAATTAACATTATAATTAAATTTTTTAAATTAAAATATTAATTTACAATTTGACTTACATAAAAATAATTGGTTCAAATTAAGTTCAAAAATCTTTATAAAATTTTCATGTTTGATCTGAAACTAAATTTTTAATGAATATTTTTAAAGAATTTTCTATTATAAATTAAATGAAAGAATATTCTGGGCATGTTATATATCAAACAAAACCCTAACTATTCCTCTATAATTTGATGAAGGAATCAATTAAAAATAATACATAGTGCTCAAATAAACGATAATCAAAGTGGCATCGTTAATAAAAGGCTACCCTGTATAATTCGTATATTTTTAGTGAATTACAGTAAGTATTACTTGATAAACTAAACTTTATATTGTAGATGTGCCTGCCCCTTTGAATTATGGACTAACCCTGATTACTGACCGCTACGAGAAATTACGTGAATTAGGTTCCGGGTATTTTGGGACAGTATTTAAAATGAGAAATAAGCGCGATGGCAAGGAATACGCCGTCAAAGAAATTTATAAAGGTAAATTTACTCATTAAAATTTAAAACTATTAAATTAAAAGAATTCTCTCTCTCTCTCTCTCTCTCACTCACTCACTCACAGATAAAACGGATTCAGACCAGTATTATAAGGAATTACAGAATTTAGTGACCGTTCGCTCAGAATATTGCATTCAATACATTCATGCACTCGAGTGCGACAACTATTACATTGTAATGGAGTTGTGTTCAGACAGTCTTCAGACAATTCTCGATAAAAAACACAAAGCCTTCCGTCGAGATTTGGGTCAACCCATGGGTTCAGTCGAGGCATTCATTTCGTGCCAAATATTCAAAGAACTCTTAGAGTGTGTTCAGTATTTGCATGGATTGGAGCCACCGGTCACTCACCGGGACTTATATCCCGATAATATTCTGATGACCCGTAAGGCAGGGAAAGGTAGATATTTTAAGTTATGCGACTTCGGTGTGTCTACAGTACGCCCGCACGCGTCCGATAAGGGTAACCCCAGCTACCAGGCCCCTGAAATTTACCATTGACGCCTATATGACCATAAAGTGGACCTGTACAGTTTGTACAAAATTGGCGAAAAGTTATTTGACGTCAATTTGGATTATCCTTGGTGAGTTTCATTCAGTCTTTTTAACCTAGATAAGTTAAGTAAACTTTATTAAATTGTTTATATTATATCTGGGTTGCGAAACGGAATATGAAATAAAAAATTTATTTACGGTATTAATATACCCTGAATACAACATTGAATATAAAAAAATGTTTTTAAAATCCTTACTCCGTTTTGTGGCCCAAAAAAATTTATTAAAAATTTGTAATATTTAAAACATCCAAAACATAGCTCGCAATCGTATTCATCGGACAATGAAATAGTCAACAAATGTATGGATAATGTGAAGCAAGTGTTGCATACCATGTCGTACTACAACTGGGAATACCCTAATCATCCCAAACCCGGTACCCATGACTGGACAGACAGACCCTCGTGTAGGCAAGTGTTAGACAAATACAAAGAGTGGACACTTTGTAACCAATGTCTGCAATCGGATCCTAACGTCGAGTCAACAGTGAATGCAATCAAACAAAATAGTTATCACTTTTTCGGTGAATATTTTGTCACGAAATACAGGATTAATATATTATTTGAGGCGCCTTTAGGTGAGTGTATGTGTTGTACGCCATACGAAGATGATCCGAATGACCCTATGTATGAAATTTACCAGGCTAAGAAAAAGTATAATGAATGTAAAAAGCAACCATGTCCACATTGTAATCAAAAGTACGGTGGTTGAAATTTAAAAATGTAAATTATGTAATAATACAAATTAAAATCATATATAAATCTATGGAAAATTTATGCCTACATCATTTATTTCTTAAAATTCAAGTTATTTTTGACCAAAAAAAGTAATTTTCAGAGAGAGAGAGAGAGAGAGAGAGAGAGATCTGGTTGTCTATGTGTTGTCCAATCACTTGATTATCACCACAAATATCACTCAAACTCTTGTGACAATTGTGTTGTTGTGAAAACATCACATGAATTTTCATAACTTATGAATCATAACAAAAGTATTTTTAATTTTTTTAAACATTTCATAAGCATGCGTATATTAATATAACAAATACACTAATATCTAGTAATAATTCACACCAACACTTGATAATAATTTGATAACTTTTTATGTAAAGTATAAGTTTGTATGGCATGTAATTTAACTATTTTATTTTTCTTTTTGAAATATTCATGGTTATGAAAATGATTATGCAAAACCATTTTAAGCAAACTTAATGTTGAAAAGTGCATATTCAAGGATACAACATTAAAGTTATTTATTTGAACAAATTGGCATACGTGATATTTAGCACTGTTTATGTAATACGATTCTTAAAGGTGGTGTTGACAGGAATTTGAAAGTTTACAATTTGGACACATTTTAATAATTGTCACAATTGTCACAAAAACCAAACAATGGCCTCCGGGTCCCAAAGTTACCCTCAATTCGAATCAATTAAATCGATTAAATTGTTTCACGTTTTCCAAGACTCGATAGGATATAACATATTAGTGGTGACCGACAAAGACCTCGTCTACGGCTTGGGATCCAATTCCTGGGGATCTCTCGGTTTGGGACACGAACTGGTTGTCAATACCGCGACTATTATACCGGAATTGTGTGACAAGAATATTGTGCAATTCTGTACGGGATACGACATTTCTATGGCTATAAACTCCAGCGGACAGGTGTATGAGTGGAAGGAATGGGTGCTCTATAAACCCTATAAACCCACCAAAGTGTTCGGTTTAGAAGACCAACAAGTCTGTCAAATATCGTGCGGTTGTGGTCGCTCGTTGGCCCTCACGCGCACCGGTAGTGTCTATGTGTGGGACCATAATATTTACAGACCCAACAGTACAAGCCCACAACGATTGCATTTTTATGCCAATGAATCTAATGTTGACAATGAATATCACATAAAAAGTGTGTTTTGCGGACATTTCTCGAGGTTTGCCATCACTGATGAGGGACTGGTGTTTAGTTGGGGTCGAAATGAATGCTATCAATTGGGCCATAAGGTATTATGTGATTATGTATGGTACGATTACACGAGCTATCGAGCACGGTACGCGAGCTATAGAGATACCGATAGCGATAACCACTATCAAGAGGGAGTGGTATTTAAACCTCAATTGGTAGCTAATGTGACGGGCATTAAATCAATCGCCACCGGGAGTCGGGCCACGTATTGGCTGAGAGACGACGGGTTTGTGTATTTTTGCGGTCAATATAACGATCAAAGCGGTGTTCAAATCATGCAAAACGAGCCCAAATTGTTGGACAACATCGCCGGCTGTCAGGAACTACGGATGATTTGGGCGAACGATGAGCACAAGGCTATTGCCCTAATAAACGACAGGGTTGTGGAGATTGACGGCATGAATCGTGTGAAACAAACGGATTACAAGAATTTGTTTGATTATTGTCTGCACGTGTATCGAGTGACTCCCGAGACCATAAGTGTGGTGGGCAACAATTATTACGATTTTTTGAGTCAAATGTTCAAAATAATTCAATTTGGAATCATTTGTAAGCATAAATAACTGGATTCGCCCAAAAGTCCCAAAAATGGAAAAATTTAAACTTAAATAACTTTTGTAACATGATCGATTGATGATAAATGGAAATTTCATTTAAATTGGGTTAGGCTAGGTTAAGGATCATCTATTCTACTAATCAAATTCAAAATATACCCACTGTCAGTTAATTATTTGAGTTTAGGTTTTTCGGTTTAAAGTATTTTTGGGCGGGGTAAACCCATAATAACTGTATGATTGAACAAAGCGTACTGTATATGTGTATATTAATTATATAATATTTGACTGTAGTCACTCCAAGCCAATTACATTCCGATTGGACCCCGATTTCTCAATACGGGAACTGGGGTGAATTAGGTACGGGATCATTCGGAACCGTATATAAAATGAGATATAAAGGCAACCGCAGAGAATATGCTATTAAAAGGATTCCCATAACAGGACCAGGTATACATCGATATAGCATAATATTATAATTGGGTTAATGCAAATTGAATTGCTCTCTCGCTTTTTGACATATAGACAAAACGGACCTAGCTCAGTATTTGAAGGAATTAGAGAACTTAAAGCGGGTGCGCTCGCAATATTGTGTTCTTTACTTGCATTCATTTTATGATTTGCATTACTATTACATTGTAATGGAGTTGTGTTCGGACAGTCTGCAGACAATTCTCGATAAAAAACGCGAAGCCTTCGGTCGAGAATCGGGTCAACCCATGGGTATGGTAGAAGCTTACATCTCGTGCCAAATATTCAAAGAGATCCTAAAATGTATGCAATATTTGCACGGATTGACACCACCGGTCACTCACGGGGATTTATACCCTGCTAATATCCTAACAAGTCGAGGATTTTATCTCACTTGCTTTGACAGTCATTGCAACCGCAGTCATTTTAAAATATGTGACTTCGGGTTGACTACTATTCGCCAACACAAGTCCGGTAGATTGGGTAATCTTGACTACCAGGCCCCAGAGATTGGCCGTGGTGAGCATAATCATAAAGCGGACCTGTTTAGTATCTACAAAATTGGTGAACAGTTATTTGATGTGGAATTACCATGTTTGAAAACGGATGCGTAAGTTTTACTACCGTATTCCCGCGCAACCACCGGCATGCCGTTATAAGTGAGGCACATATTTATGAATTGTCATGCATAAAGTTGAAATAAAGCGATACGTGTATTAATTTTACTTATAATCATATATTTTCTAGCTTAAACCTATTTATACAACAAAAATAAATAGTAAAATATAAAAATTAATAGGAAATTTATTGTAAATTTATTTTTAACGCATTTATAACACAAAATATTAATAATTTTTAAAATATTAAAAACATATTTTAGACCTCACTTATTACGGCATGCCGTTATACCTCGGGATATAACGGCAGTCTCATAAACCTCACTTTACACCGGCATGCCGGTGGTTGCGCGGGAATACGGTAGTAATCTTTTTATGATTAAATGCTTTTTAATTTGAACGGTAGTTGTGCCAGTTTATTTCAAGATAATTTATTCATATAGAATTTAATATAATGTATCATTTAATATTTAAATATAAGATTAAATATGACACTGATGCAATACTTGTAGTGACATCCTTTTAATTCCATTGTTTATACAGTTTTAGAACTTAAGTTATGAGTGAATGGCATTCAAATGTTTGAATTATATTAAAATTTTTCAAAATATAGTTCACTATCGTATTCATCGGATAACGAATTGGTGAACAAATGCATGATAAATGTAATGTTCGTATTGCAATCCATGTCGTACTACAACTGGGACCACCCGAAAAACCCCGAAACCCTTCACTGGACAGACAGACGTGAATGCAGTGAAGTGTTGGAGACTTACAAAGAGTGGACACTTTGCAACAAATGTCTGCTATCGGGTTCATATGTCGTCGATGCAATAGAGTCTGGTATTGGTGATTCTACCAGGAAACATTATTATGAATTTTTCTATCATTATCTACTACATATAATTCACAAGACTGACGACCAGGAAACGTATAAAGTTAGCTGTATTCCGCACGATGATCTAGGTGACCCTTTCCAGTGTAAACACGAACCAGACAAACAGCATTATGATTCTAAAACTCACCAATGCCCACATTGCCATCAAAGTTATTGTCCTGAATCAAAGCAAGCCGATTTTGGCGTTAGATTCATGTATCTCAAGGAGTTATTATTAAAATATAGAAAATCTAAGATTCTGTATTAAAACTAAAACCGTACAACAAACTGTATTTTGTTTTATCGGTATATCATATCGATACATTATTAATTACACATAATATTTAACATTGAAAATAAATTTTAACAAATTGTTGCGTTTATTAGATTAAGGCTTATATACAGTACAATGCATAACATAATCATAACTTCTTATTAATGTTTGGCATAAATATCTTCAACCTCTTCGGCGGTGATGTCGATGACTGTGGCAACTGTTCACTCGAGTTAGCCATAAATCTCTGATACTTTATGTGAATATCAATATCAGACACACTTTTATCACGCAATTGATCCGTTAGTCGACTCAACTCCTTATTAAACGCCACAATCGACTCCTTAAGTCGTTTCGGACCACCGATTATCTCATCCGCGGTGTCGGTCAGCTCTCGTTTAAGACTTTCCATACCATCGATGACTACCTGTTGCCGAGGTTTCTCTATGTCTTCAGATCTATGACTTACAGTGGGATCTAATAGGAAACGATATGTCATTAAGTGATAAACTATAGGATTATCACAAATAAGATCTGTTTTACAGCAACTGCTGGACACAGACGTTGTCTTTGGATTAAACATCTCTTGCAGTGAATCCTCTGACTCCGTGTCCGTCAGTGTTATCTCGTATCCGATGTCGTACTCGGACTCCGACTCATCCTAATGGGTGACAATACATACCATTAGATAATAACACAATAATAGCCACCAAATACTCGCCTCAAGACTATCACTGGTATAACTGCTTCGAGAATCCAATTCCTCATCATTGGTCGCCACTGTGTTATCTAAAGATGGCTCGCATTGGGATATATTGGATGTCGAAGAAGTGGTTGACGTAAAGCCTAAGACATGCAAACAAAACGCCAATTAAATCATCAAATGAATGACAGCTCTCTCTCTCTCTCTCTCTGCCTCTCATTACTTGTGTTGATATTATCCCTCAATCTCTTGAGTTTGCATCGGATCTGTTCCGTATTCCTCTTGAATCCAATTGTCTCGAGTCTGCACTGAATGTACTGATGAAGCGCTCGTTGGCTGCCATACGAAGACACGGCCCTCGACTGCGACCAAACCGTCATCAGCGCCGACGTCTCGGCGAACGACCACTTCGTGACGTCAGACACAGTCTTCGGCCGCTTCTTAGCCGTCATCGATGTCCTGGTGGTCGGCGTTGCGGTAGTTGTCGTCGACACACGTCTTGAGACACACGAACGGCTCGCGCGCTGACCGATGGCTGTCTTGTCGGCCACCGACTGCTTGTCCGCAGTCATGGCTCTCTTGACTTTAGCGGCCATTCATGTGTCCATCGACTGATCCATTCGGTGATGAGATCTGCGGTGAAGAGTGTCTTTGAAAACGTGTTTTTGTTTTTGTTTTTCTTCACGCATTCATTCAAACACTGAGTGCGCGAACGATGTCTTCATAAATAACGTTACGATTGAAGTTTGCGAACAGATTGTGACACAAGTTCTGTGAGATTATCACTCATTTGGTCCGTGGTTTCAGTGGTTGTATTGAATGTGTGGGCTGTCAGTGGTATCGATGCGAGTGGTCATGCATTTTAGTTTTTTAATGTTTTTAAGTCATTTTAAATCTCTCTCTCTCTCTCGACGAACTTCAGAAACAATTGGATCAAATAGAGTGATGATTAAATTGGTGGCTAGAGATCTAATGGCACACACCTGACGCTCACCATCGCTATAAATTGAGTGACCATTTGATAGCATTTTATTAATTGACTACTTTTTAAAAATTTTAAATTGCATTTTCAACACCAATTAAACACTTATTTAAATCAATTAATCTATATTTTCATGCAATATTTATGCATTAATTGAATATTTATTTTGCAAAATTATGCTAATTATTAGATATAAGTAATATTCGGATTAAGTTATAAAAATCAATTAATTTTCAATTACTTTATCATAAATTATCTGTAAATCTAATATCAAATAATATTTCACGAATACGGTATAAAACTGTGTATTAAATACACCAAAAGTAAACTACAGTTAAGGTTAACGTAAAGGAAAACAATTGAAACACAAAAAACACAAATCGAAAAACAATTTAAATATGAATTTAATTCTCATAAATAAAACATAAAATGTATTTCAAGATTGAATAGAAAAAACAAAAATACAAAAACATTATTAAGACATAAGCGGAAAGGTATGAATTGATTAACAGGTAAAAAACAGACAAAAATATATCGTAACTATCATTACAATCAAAACCTAATCGTTAATTGAATTTACAGTTCGTGAAGTCCATCTCCGGGTGCTCCGCCATAAACCTAATGGAAAGGCATTCAAACAATCAGTTAATTGCCAGAAATTATAACAAAAATGGATTAAAAGTATTCAAATGACTGTCCATTAACTGCAATCAGACTAGTAGTCAAGTAATACGTACTTCTTAATGACGTCCTGTTTTTTCTGGTCCTCACTGGTAGGCAAACCTGGAAAGGCATCCAAACATTAGACTTCACCCAAACTGAATACACTGTTCATACAAACCCAGTTCCTTTTGTCTTTGATCGTACATCATCTGCAAAACAAACACAAAACAAACATTACTTTCCCTTCTAATCAAACACACGGCAGTGTCGACCACAACAACCAGCCCTCACTCGCACCCACCTTCTCGACCATAGAGCGGGTCTCGCCGTCCAAGTCGGACAACTTGGAGGCCTCGGGATTCACTTTACGGGTGTTCATCTCGGGGTCGGTCACCTGTAGCCGCGGCCATCGTTAATTGAATTTACAGTTCGTGAAGTCCATCTCCGGGTGCTCCGCCATAAACCTAATGGAAAGGCATTCAAACAATCAGTTAATTGCCAGAAATTATAACAAAAATGGATTAAAAGTATTCAAATCGCTGTCCATTAACTGCAATCAGACTAGTAGTTAAGCAATACGTACTTCTTAATGACGTCCTGTTTTTTCTGGTCCTCACTGGTAGGCAAACCTGGAAAGGCATCCAAACATTAGACTTCACCCAAACTGAATACACTGTTCATAAATACCCAATTCCTTTTGTCTTTGATCGTACATCATCTGCAAAACAAACACAAAACAAACATTACTTTCCCTTCTAATCAAACACACGGCTAGTGTCGACCACAACAACCAGCCCTCACTCGCACCCACCTTCTCGACCATAGAGCGGGTCTCGCCGTCTAAGTCGGACAACTTGGAGGCCTCGGGATTCACTTTACGGGTGTTCATCTCGGGGTCGGTCATCTGTAGCCGCGGCCACCACTCCATCTGATGGCACTTCTCCAGAGTGATGACTACTGTATTCATGTCCTGCAGAACCCAACAGCAGTCCTCCACTTTGATCTCGTTATGGAGTTCCCCGTCGATGACCGGGGGTTGACCTTTGACACCGACCTTCAGGTGCTTCTTCTTGTACTCGACGATACTGTATTCATGTCCTGCAGAACCCAACAGCAGTCGTCCACTTTGATCTCGTTATGGAGTTCCCCGTCGATGACCGGGGGTTGACCTTTGACACCGACCTTCAGGTGCTTCTTCTTATACTCGACGACTATATCGCGAGCACGCAGTTTGAAGGCCACCCGCAACGGCACCTTCACCTCCAGTTCCGATAGGGTTTGCGTCCACGTGTAGTCGTCTAAATCACATCCATTTCCTGCGTTAGGCTTCAGTTTATTGTTGTCCTCCTCGTCCTCATCGTCTTTCTTATCTCCGCTTTGTCGCCATCGGAAGCGCCGTTAGTCTCGACCGCATCGGTAGGTTTCGCATCGTTAGACTGTATGAGAGATAGAGTGAGAGAGTTATGAGAGAGAGAGAAGAGAGAGTTATGAAAGAGAGAGAGAGAGAGAGACTATTAATCACCTCATTATCACCGGCGCTGACGTCGCCATTACTCTGTTGCTTCTTATCATTGGCTAACTTCTGCTCCAATCGTTCCGCCTCTTCATCAGTCAGTTCCACAATCTTAGGCTTCGGCGGACTATTGGCCGCCGCCTTCAGCTTCTCCTCCTCTTCCCTGCGCTTCTGATCCCTTCTCTCCCGTGCCTTACGTTCCACTTCTTCCCTCTCTTTGATCTTCTCTTCGTTCACTTTGTCTGAAATCTCTTTGTATTTGCGAAACGTCTTAAGCACTAAAGCCTCGGCGGCTGAGGTGTCGGCGCTTCCGAAGTAGAAGTCCGTCTTCCGGCACAAGAACGAGAAGAATGTGTCTAAAAGCTGTTCCCAAAGATAATGAGATATAGAGTGAGACAATGAGTGGTAAATTGGTATCAATGGTTGGGTTCTATAGTAGGTATCAATGAGTGGTAACAGTGGTAGTCATCAGTAGGTGTGTCTCATGAGTGGGTGATAACAAGAGTGGTGTGTATTATGATAGGCATCGGTGGTCAACAAACCTCTTGAACGCCTCCCGTGTGCTCTCTGGCCATCGACAACAGTATGCCATCGAATTTGTCTTCGTTTGAGGCCATGTCTTGACGCGATTGTCACTAAACGGATCTCACAAACAATGGTACGTCTGATGGCTTTGTTTATCACTGTATTTATCACTGAATTTCTAGAAACCCATAGAAATCCTATGCAATGAAACACATGTGCAATGCATATGCGCGTACAGTCACTGGCTATCGTTTTGTAGACATTTATAAATTGATTCTAATGAGAAATCGTCAACAAAATTACTGCTAAAAAGCATGACTTCATTACAAATGCAATAAAACATATGAATTGCTCATCAACAATGTTACGCATTCATGCATAGTTTGGAGGATCGTATACATTGAACATATGAGGGGAGTGCTCATTGGAATAACATATAAAGGGGGCAATACTGAGAGTAAGGGCTCTGAGTATAATAACAATAGTGTTACGTATGTTATGATAGTCTCGCAGTAAATATCACTGAAAACACACAATCAGTTCAACCGTTAACCACAACTTTGCGGACCAACTGCTCAACTGATCCCAAGACATGACTTACTGGCGTACGGCTGGCGTTACGTAAGTGCTATCATCGCCGCTAATACACTGAATGTCCACTAATTA